ATCCTGGAGATGAGGCTGACGGGGACAGGGGGTGACGCTGCACTCCTGCAGCAGCACGCAAACCCCAAACTCCACCAGCTTTACCCCCTTTTCCTACCTCACCTCCCAGGTACCCCCAGGGATGGGGCAGCCACCCCTGGGGGCAGCAAGTCAGGGTCTGGGGGTTCTGGGTTGGAGGGAGAGGTGCTTACTCAGCGCATGGTGCCGAGACATGTGGGGGGACAGTGTAGCGGCAGTCCATGATCATGGTGAGGGTCTCGCTGTCGTTGGCCTCCTGGAACGGGGGGTGGCCGCACACCAGCATGTAGAGGATGACCCCCAGGCTCCAGATGTCTGCAAGAAGCAGCAGGTCAGGTTGCACCCACCATGGCCCAGGGGAGAGCCCCAACCCTAGGGACCCCCGGGGGCAACCCCACCGGCCCCCAGTGCTGATCCAGCAGAGACCAGTGCTCACTGGGATGCTCCTTGGAGGTAACAGCTCCCAGGTCCTGCCCCACGGACAGGGGACCACAGCCCCACCCAGGTGGGGAAGGACCCTCCCCATCCACACAGGTCTCAAGGGGCTTCACCAAAGCACCGGAGGCCTCATCGCTTTTCCCAGGTGGAGACAGGGGGACCAGCCCTGAGCTCTGTCCTCCCCCCAGTCACCCACCCCCAGCACTGTTTCACATCATTACTCAGCTCCCCAGACCCCAGACAGACTCACCCCGACCAGGCTGTGCCGGTGGGGACACCACAGCAATGGGACAGGGCACGCAGCACCAGGCCAACCTCTCCATCTGCCTACAGCCACACAGGCACCTGCCAGAGTGGGATCGCTGCCCGGCCCTGGGGACAGGGACAGAGCCAGCGGCATCTCCACCTCTCCTCCTGAGGAGTACATAAACTCTCTGCAAAAGCTCTTTTTTCAGCTGAGCACACCCTGGGCCTCCCCGCTTAATACCTTCAGCTTCTTAAGTCAAGTCTCTGCATTTGAAAATTTCTTATCTGCACCAGTTTTCTCCCTTCATTTCCCTTTGCAGAGCCACAAGCTCCTTTTTCTAACCGTCTCCACGAGCCATCCCCATTTCACCTCCAGAGACACCCTTCCCCGAGCCCACACTGGGCTTTTTCCTTTAAGGGCTCATGTTTTGTTTTGCTAAATCTTCCTGCCCCAAATTCCAGTGACCTGGCTGGGGTCCCCCTTCCCTCTTACATCCTCTCTGTCCCCACAGAGCCTCTGGGTGCCCCCAGCCGGGCTCCCTGGCCCCCCTCACCCCGCCCAGGGCAGGAAGGGTGCTGGGAGCCACCGAGAGGAAGCGGTTTCCAGGGCAGAGATGGAGCAAAGAAAACTTTCAGAGCTCCTCCGCCCAAAGGGCAGAATCCCGAGCAGGTTTCCTTCCGGCATCACCCCCAAATAACCCCAACTGCCGGCTCTGTGGCGGCAGCGCCCTCCCCGGCCCTGGCGGATGCCACGCCAGGCTCACAGCCTGCTCGGCTGTTTCCCCTCCCTGGCATGAGCCATTGCTCTGGGGGATCTCAGTGGGTGTGGGGACGGTCTCCGCAGGGAGAACCACCCTGTGCCAGGACAGGGCCAGGCAGCCGAGCGCCCACGGGATGGGATTGCTCCCTGCGGGGACAGCAGGGCCACCAGGCCACGGGTGCTCCCAGCATAAGGGGCCAAAAGTCAGGCGGTACCCAGCTGGCAGGACCACAGGCAAGGGACACGTGGCAGGCACGTCCCCCGGGTAAGCCCTTACCAACAGCCGGTGCGTCGTACTCCTCCCCCAGCAGGAGCCCGGGCGCCGGGAGCCGCAGCTGGTGGTTAGCATCTTGCCGGGTTGGAAGTGGTTGCTGAAGCCAAAGTCAGTGAGCTTGACCACCCCCTGCTCCTGGAAGAAGACCACATTCTCGGGCTTGAGGTCGCGGTGCACCACGTGGAGCTTGTGGCAGTAGGAGATCGCATGGACGATCTGGGCGAAGTAGTGCTTGGCCCGCGCCTCGGCCAGCCCGCCCTCGTGCCGCATTATGTGGTCAAACATGTCCCCGCCGTCACCCAGCTCCAGGATGAGGTAGAGCTTGGCGTGGGTGTCGATGACCTCGTAGAGGCGCACCACGTTGGGGTGCTGGACCAGCTTCATGCAGCGCACCTCTTGCAGGAGCTGCCCT